TATATAATACTACAGTATATTATATCAAATGGAATAGGTACCGATGAGTTCATCCAACCTACCTACTACCGACATGGCTCATAGGAAAGATGGTACGGGCACTTTGCACCGCCACAAGCCTCACATTGCCTTGCTCGCTTAGCAACGCTTTAGAAAGCAGCGTATCGAGGTCCTTCTCTACATTCGTTGTCATGGTAACGGGGTCATACGCGCTGGTGACCATTTGTACAGCCTCGATTATGCTAAGCCTCGCCTCGTTCTGCTGTTTGTTTGTCTGTTACAGATTTGGCAACGAAAATGATTTCTTGAATTAAATTTTTATCGACAACTCAGGACCTCACACTATATTTGTTGTATGCCATCCCGTAGTAGTGCATTCTGCTTTGTTCTGCGGTTTCGTATATCTGTTCATTCAAAAGTAGTACGTGTGTGCATAGATATCAACCATTCGCTTAGCAACCCACATGGACCACGTGTGTACACATCTATCTGTCAACCACTCGCTTACCATCCCACATAGACCACGTGTGCACACAGATATCTATTAACCGCTCGCATACCATCCCACATAGACCACGTGTGTACACAGATATACATCAACCACTCGCTTACCTGGGCCTGTAGCGTGTTGATTAGTAGTTTGAGTACTTGTGTGTCCTTGGCAAATAGCGGAGGTTGTCGTTTGGCCAGTTTGCCGATGGTTAGATAGGCGAGTGCCTGCATCTTCGGTGTTTCTGAGTAGTGGTCCAAAATTTAAAATTAGGTGCTTCTGCAGCTAACCATTAACCATAGTCCAAAATTTAAAATAAATGGTTCTGCAGCTAAACATAGTCAAAAAAAAATGTCCCTCTCCGACTGAGGACTATTTACACCTCTGCATGATTCCTACTAAAGCTTTGGAATCAAAATGAAACTAATACAACTATAAAAACAAATACAACGATAAAAACTAAAACGACTAAAACGAATACAACCATTAAATCTAACACAGCCATTGGATCTTATACAACTGTGGAATTATTATGTCCCGTATTGAGGACTAAATAGTCCTACTCTGAAAACGGCGCTAACGAACACCTACTTTGTTCCTCTCGGGACTACACACAGAACGACGCAACACAGTGCCACACGGCACCCATAACAAAGCACCCGATACTCATACCACCTATACCAACAACTCGGTACATTATGGAATAAAAGCGCTTGAGAAATTGGGCATTAAAATTGGGCCAATTTCTAATACATGTCTATACGAACAGCAACCACCACATAGTGGTGGTTCTAATTTCGAGATTTGAATAATCAGCACATACGCACCTGGTGAAAAATTGGGATTGTAACTTTGGTTTTCGGACTTGTCCTGTCCATTTGTTGATCCACCTGGTGCTGCGGCAACCATGCCACCAGCGACAGCTGATTTCTCTGTCGCAGCCAAATTCTTGAGTATCTGGGGAAGGGGGGGGGGGGGGGTGGCGGGGGAGGGACATATGAATTAACATATGGTGACAGAAAAAAGACAGAAAAACACAGGAAAAAGCATAATATGATGACCAAAAGAAACATATAGATAAACAAACTTTGATCTAAAAAAGACAAAAAAAATATGGGGACAAAAAAAGGACATCACAATAAAAAGTTGATGCTTTCTGAGTATATAGACACCTCAGCGGAAGAACGAGGCTTTCAATAGGAGAAGTATATATCGATATATGATTACACATATGAACGTGGTTACATGCGCAGATATAACGCACTCGTTCTCTCTCTCTCACACACACACACACATATATATATATATATATATAAACACACATGTATATACATATACATATACATATACATACAAATA